GGGGATTGAACCGCGGTCCCTGTGCTTTGCCAAGCTTGTTTCAAGTAGGTGCTTTAGACCACTGAGCCATCTCTCCAGCCCCATAGGTCTATTAAGAAAGAAGTCTAAAGAAGAAAGGATGGAATGAAGTAAAGAGTGGGAAGACAGCTCAGCAGCAGAACACTTGTCTAACATACACAAGCTCCTGGGTTTGCTCCCAAGCACTTGCTAAGTATTCAAGTAGGTTATGTTGGGCCACCCTAGAGAGAAAACTTTGCTTAGGAAAGCATTTTAATTATTCAACAGATTTAGTGAGTACTTACTACATACTCTAAGGGCTACTCTAAGCACTATGTACAATAGTGGCAGGCAGATAGCTAGACTCTAACACAGGAACAATGATGTGATGAGTAATACTTGGTATCACAGAATTTCTACCTGTCCTATGACTTTCACCTCTTAGATAAACTGAAGACTACGCAGCAGTCTAACAAAGGCCCTCAAGTGGGCAAGAGGCAGTACTGCAATATTTACTTTCAAAGTAAAAAAGGGCAATGGAGCTTTAGTTCAAAAGACAAAACATAGTAGAGTTATGGTGTTAGGAAGAAAGAGAAAACATTTCTTTTGTTTCATGTTATACTGGAAGAACTTCTAAAAGATTTTATGCAACTTTACTGCTTTGTGGTGTATAAGAGAGCTACCACCTCTGAACTGGGGATACTATGACTACATCAGGGCCACACATCCTTTCCAACAAACTAAGCTGAATGTTCACATGGACGTCAAAAGTTCTGGTCTTTAATTATCTTGTGATAGTATCTTTCTTTTTCCAGATTTTAAATACAGTAAAAGACAAATTAGATTAAATATTCAATTTAATCAATCATGGATGAGAAACTTTAATATATCTATCTACTTATCAGATTACAAAGTTTCAAGTCTTAAGAACAATTACTAAATGTGGCACTAGTGAGAATTTCCAGGAAAAGTCACTACTGCTTTTAGGATACAGAAAAATAATTTCAGCTATCAGAAGATTCTTTCTTGGTTCAAAGGTATAAATTTTCAGCATCCTGGATAGGCTGCCTAGGAAAGTAAAACCTTTATGAAGGGAAGGATGCATAGAAATAAAGGAAAAGGATAAAGACTCATACGTTCAAGAGTATTAAATGAGGCAACTTTTGTAACTTCCTTTGAGAAAATTCTTAGAGGCTAATAAAATAGTTTTCCACTGAGTACATACTTTAATGTTCCTAAACATTATACTTTAGCTTGAGATGTAGGACTCAGTCACGTGTCTTAAATTTTTGCCTCAAAACCCTAGAGCCCAAAAGCTTGATACATACCCACACACATTTTGACATCATTCACAGTGAAGTCTGGATCTGGCATCCTAGGAAACAAATACCCATAAGTATAATAAATCAAAATTACAACTTATCTAATCAGTGTGAGGGTTTTTTTTTTCCTTCAACTATAGGAACTCAATAATAA